CCCCCCCCCCCCGCGACCCTCGTCAGGGTCAGCGCCGTTGAAAATGGGTGGGCGGTTGGATGTCTTGCAGGAAGTGGCGCAAGTCATCAAGAGCCCGGTGTGGAAGTCTCTGATTCTCTCGCGTCGACTTTTCAGAACCGTCAACGCCGAAATGAAAGCAAAGGCCGAGCTGCACGATGTCCTCCGCAAGTCGCGAGCGACAAACTCTGGACGGACGTGGCAAGCGGATCAAGTTGGTTCTTTGAGTGGCGCTGGCGACTCTAGCCAGGGAGCACTGATAACGGGGCTCGCGGCCAAAACCCTGCTGAGGAGGTGAGTCCAAAGTGGCACGGTAAGATGGCTGTGCTTTGGCCTCAAGCGCCTGGGGCCCGTGGATTGCCCGCGCGTAGAAAGGCTGCGGACGTGTTTCTTTGGCTCCCTTCGACGCATACGTTGACTCCGCACTCGGACTGACTTGGTCACCTTTTATTCTCCTCGTGCTTTCGCAGCGAGTGCGCCGACGTTTGCCTCCTCCGGGGCTCCCAAGCAAGGCGGAGGGAGCGGAAAGAAGGCAGTCAGTTTCCGGTTTGATTGACGGTAGAGTTTGGAACACAACAGAGTGGCGCCAGCGCGATCCCGTAACAACTACAAGCGAGCCACAAAACAATTAGCATGTTCAAAGAGCTCTTTGAAGTCAATGCTGGCGCGCGAGACACAATGTGGACACGCCTGTTCTCCCGACATGTCCTCGCCTGTGCTCACTCATTGGAATGACCAAACAGCAGGAAACGCTGTTGGATGACTGCTGCCCGCCTGATGGGCGGCGCCGCGATAAGCCAAAGGCGCTCAATTTGGCCGCAAAACCGAGGATGGGGTGTTCGCGGGCCATACGCCGAGTACCGAGTGAGTCGGCGGAATCCCGCCAATCTTGCAAATGGCACGCAAGAGTGTGGCTCACTAACGGTACGGACCAAGCGCCACCCGGGAGGAGCCCGGTACCAGACCATCCCCCCCGAGACACACGGCTGCCGTTTTCCTCCAGCAAGGCGGCGAGACCCAAAACTGCCTTTCGGCGGCCTCCAGGGAGCCACCGGCGCTGCAGCTTCGCCGCCCCGGCCGTCTTCGGGCAACGGGCGGGCGACGCCCTCAGCTGGCTGCCAGCCAATTGCAGGGCGCACGGCGACCAACAACCACTGGCGATCACGGCGGGGGGAACCATCGAGAATGTCCCATGAACTTACCGTGCCACACTCATGTGGCTCTTTAGCGCCGCCCTAATGGCCCCCTTGAGCTTTTTCCAAAATATTTGAAAATGGAAAAAAATGGGGGAAGGGTACTGTCAGAGAATGGGAATCTGAATGTCCGAGACAAACATTTGACAACGGCACGCGTGAGCTACGATAGTGAACACGCCCCCGCAAAAGTGCGTCGCGTGCCACCGCGTAAGCTCTCGACAAAGGTAGGCAGTGATTTTCACAAAAGTGTTTCTTTTTCTGTTTCGTTTGTTTTCGGGGCCGTTGTGGCTGTTGCTCACTATGACATTCGTGTGTAAGTACGTGCGTGTGCGGTAACGGGTCGATCGCGGGAGGTCGCTTGATCGAAAAGTAGGCACCTTTGCTCTACAACAGGGGTAGGGAACTCGGGTCCCTCGAGACCCATACCCTGGCTGTTTTAGATGCCTCCCGACTCCAGCACACCTGATTCAATTGTTCACGATCGTTTCAGCCCTCGACAGAGCTTGCTGATGAGCTGCTCATTTCAGTCGGGTGTGTTGGAGTCGGGAGGCATCTAAAACAGCCAAGGTATGGAGGTCCACTATGGCTCTTTCGACATTTGGGGTTGCCGACCCCTGACTTGGAGGCTCTCGTGTGATAGGCCAAACCCTTGGCTCCACCTGATCATGGCAATAGGTAAACACCTTTTGTGTTTTGGACACTTGGTGGCTAATGACTCAGTCGACGATGAAGAAATGTTTTGAAATGTCGTTTGACAAGATTTCTCCTATGGTTACTCATGTCACTCACTATTTGATGATAATTCCTCTTTAAGATAACAAAAAGGCTGGCTATTAATTATCAACCACACCTTTGACAAGGATGGGACATAGTTTGCAATTAGGCTCATTTATAAAAGGTCGCCACATTGTTTGAGGTGACATAAAAGCAGGCGCTGAAGCCAAAGACGCATCGAGCCGAGCTTCTCCGAACAGCGGCCCACATTGAGCACAGTGAGTACCTCTCAGCTTTTCCTTTGTCCCCTCTGCTTTTTTAACGGAGGCAACGGTCCTGAGATGGGGCCCTCACCTCCGGGTTACCGCTGTTCCAACTACGCGGCGAAGCATTCGGCGAGAAGGCCGACATCCATCTTCCTTTTGCGACGGCGATTTCCGTGTGGTTGTGCTGTCAATTTTGTGAGACTTGCGGGTTGGTGTCCAGCACCCCAATAGTTATTTTTGGGGTCTCGATGATGTAACCCTTGGTGTTTGTTTTTTTTTTTTGTGTTTGTTTGTTTTCCAATTTTTTTGAGTGTACCCCCTGCCCCGCGTTTTTTCTTTTCTGAGCGCGAGCAGAGGGAGAACACCATTTTCGATGGGGCAAACCATGCTTTTCTCCATCTGCTCCGCATCCCGAGATTTGAAGGCCTCCCCCCACATGGCGAATTACAATGCGGTGTCAAATAGAGAGGCGATGTGGCAAAAAGAGTAACTTTGAATGAACATTCATTGGTATAGGTTCCATCCTTCCCAGGTGAGACGTCCATCCCCTCCACTCAAATCCAGTTGAATTTCACGGAATCGAATTCCAATTGGACTCTGATCAAAACCACCGGCTGAGCTTTGGGGTGAGAGTCGACCGCAGCTGTCTGGAACACGACTTTAGACAAGTTTATCCAATTGCAACGGTCGCTGCCCGGCAATCGGGAGCGCTTTCGATTCGTTCGTGTGCATCTGACAACTCGAGGCCTTTTGGAGACGGATCAAGACCAGCAAACCGGCCAGGAACCCAAGTGAGTACACGGAGAGGCCAAAATTGTGGTTCCAACGAAATACGCTTCGATTCAAAGCGCTCTTTGTCAAAGATGTGTCAATAATCAGCCCTTTCTTTTCACCGCTTTAGAGGACATTCGCTGACAAGATGATGACCTACAGGATTTTCATTATTTTCCTTCTGCTGGTTGGTAAGTCCAAGTCATCAAACTTTCATGAAAAGGGAGACGTGCCAAAGTAAAACTGACCTGCGATTGAACCCCGTGGACGCAGGAAGTGACAGTAGACCGACTCCAAAACGCTCAGCCGGAACTTCAAATGCATTCGGGAGGAGGGAAGCCTGGCACGAGGAACATGAATGCAAATATGAAGACAAAGATGACGACAACGACGACGAGGATGATGACGAAGATGACGATGACGAGGATGACGATGACGACGACGACGATGACGATGATGACAATGATAACGATGATGATGAGGATAACGATGATGATGACGACGACGACGATGATGATGATGACGATGATGATAATGATGATGATGATGATGATGATAATGATAACGACAATGACGATGATGACGACGATGACAATGATAACGATGACGATGATGATGACGATGATGATGACGATGATGACGATGATGACGACAACGATGATGATGATGATGGTGACGACGATGATGACAATGATGACGATGATGATGACGATGACAATGACGATAACGATAACGATGATGACGACGATGATGATGATGGTGACGACGATGATGACGATGATGACAATGACAATGATGACGACGACAATGACGACGATGATGACGACGATGACGATAATGATGACGATGACGATGATAATGACAATGATGACGACGATGACGATGATGGTGACGACGACGATGATAATGACAATGATGACGACGATGACGATAATGATGACGATGACGATGATAATGACAATGATGACGACGATGACGATGATGGTGACGACGATGATGACAATGACGACGATGACGATGACGATGATGGTGACGGTGACGATGATGACGATGACGACGATGATGATGATGATGACGATGATGACGATAACGATGACAATGATGACGACGATGACGATGATGATGACGGTGACGATGACAATGATGACGATGATGACGACGACGACGATGATGATAACAATGATGATGATGACGATGATGATGATAGCGATGATGACAATGATAACGACGATGACGATGATGACGACGATGATGATGATGATGACGACTATGACAATGATGAAAATGACGATGATGATGACGACGACGATAACGACGATGATGATGACAATGATGACGATGACAATAACGATGATAATGACGATGATGACGACGATGACAATGATGATGATGGTGACGACGACGATGATGACAATGACGATGATGACGATGATGATGATGATGACAATGATGACGATGATGACGATGATGATGATGACGACGATGACGATGACGATGACGATGATGATGATGATGATGATGATGACGATAACGACGATGACGATGAAGATGATAACGACGATGATGATGACGATGATGACGATAACGATGATGATGACGACGGTGATGACAATAATGACGATGACGACAATGATGATGACGACGATGACGATGACGACGACGATAATGACGATGATGATGATGATGACGATGATGACGATGACAATGACGACGATAATGATGATGATGACGATGACGATGATGACGATGATGATGATGACAATGATGACGAAGATGACGATGATGATGATGATGACGACGATGACAATGATGACGACGATGATGATGATGGTGATGACGACGATGATGACAATGATGACGATGACGATAACGATGATGATGACGATGATGATGATGACGACGATGATGATGATGATGACGATGGCAACGATGATGATGATGATGATGATGACGACGATGATAATGACGATGATGATGACCGTGACGATGATGACAATGACGACGATGACGATGATGATGACGAGGACGATAACGACGATGACGATAATGATGATGACGATGGTGACGACGATGATGATGATGACGATGATGACGATAATGACGACGACGATGATGATGATGATGATGGTGACGATGATGACGATGATGATGATGATGATGACGATGACGATAACGATGATGATGACGACGATGATGACGATGATGACGACGATGACGATGATGACGACGATGACGATGATGACGACGATGACGATGATGACGACGATGACGATGATGACGACGATGACGATGATGACGACGATGACGATGATGACGACGATGACGATGATGACGACGATGACGATGATGATGACGGTGACGATGACAATGATGACGATGATGACGACGACGACGATGATGATAACAATGATGATGATGACGATGATGATGATAGCGATGATGACAATGATAACGACGATGACGATGATGACGACGATGATGATGATGATGACGATGATGACGATAACGATGACAATGATGACGACGATGACGATGATGATGACGGTGACGATGACAATGATGACGATGATGACGACGACGACGATGATGATAACAATGATGATGATGACGATGATGATGATAGCGATGATGACAATGATAACGACGATGACGATGATGACGACGATGATGATGATGATGACGA